TTTTTTCGAAAACAAATTATTTATTTTGAACATCTCTTTTTAGGATTGTACACTTTTCATAATGTCTACGTTATTTTTTAATCTATCCAATAAATTTGGTCTCTGAAATTACTCCACTGTCTTAGCGATTACCTCTGCATTTCAGCTAAAAAAAATTCCCACTAGCCGTTTATCATATTTGGGAATAAGAGGAAATCACAGGATAGCAGTTAAGGTGAATACGAAGCATGCTATAGCAGTTCATAACTCGACTAATGCATAATGGCGATAACAACTCTACGAATTAGCAGGCGCTTTTCTTGGGAAAAGTGCCAATTGGGGATTTGTTTCCTCCTATCGAAGCCGTCCAATTAATGCACAATAGTAATGTCAAAGGATCGTTTTTCCTTATTCAAAGAAGTCCATTAATATGATGCCCTTAGAATCACATTTTTTTGTTTTGTTTTGGGGCATATTAACAGATGGTAACACATAATGGTAAAAACAATTTGCCTAGCAACGTCATCTGTCTTCAAAAACAGGAACTTATTAAACACCCCTTGAGCAAGTAAAAATATGAGAAAATAATGAATAAACAAAAGTAGTGATAAGAAATAAGTTAAATCTTTTCAATCACACATTTCACTGAATAACCTAAAACGAAAAATAAATTCCTGTAACATTTCCAAAGCATTAAGTAAGAATAAATATCCATGATTTATTCCAAAGGAGCAAATATCACATTCATATAATTTCCATGTTTTAGAAAAGGGAAAAACTTGGTTATTTTTTTCTTATATATGTAATAACATAAAATGGCAATACAAAAGAATCATGTTATTTATATTGTGCCCTATAATTTGACATTACAATTGGGAAAGCGACGCTTTTGGAATCAAAGCCGTTGGAATTTGAGATTTAATCCGACAACGTTGTTTAATATAATAGATGTTTCGTTGGATATATTTCTTTCTTTCTTTTCAGTATCAAATTTTGACATGTTAGGATATAGAAATTCAAATAGGGTACATAAGATTTGATGTCATGGATGGTGAAGTCTGTCTACAAGAGGCAGATGAATTGCTTAACAGAGACGCTATTTTAAACGTATGAGACTAATTAAGGAGAATTTTTAGGGAACAAAATTAAAAGCTGATTATTTTCATATTGCCCTCCAAAGGGGCTGTTGCTTTAGTGAAACACAAAATGGTCAAGTAAGAACTTTTCAAAAAAACTGAATGAATAAATGAGTGAGTGAGTGTATGAGGGAGTGGATCAATGAGAAAATGAATGAGTGAATCAGTGAATAAATTAATAAATAATTAATTAAATAAATCAAATTTCCTATCCATTATTACGTAATTGTTTGTTTTATTTATAATGTGTATTTTGATAATTTTATAATTATATTTTAAACATACAATAACACCTTTGGTGAGTAATTCGTTTTTTCGCAAAACTTTACATCTTAGAATTTATTATTTACCTAGAATTATTTGGTTTTTAAAACCCTTTTATCATGGGATATGAATAACAAAGATTGATAGCGACAACTAATTAAAACAATTTTAAAAGCAAGGTACAGTTTTAATTATTCAAATGACGAGTCGTTACATTTCGATTAGAAAACTCGTGTTTTGTATTCTCTATCGGATTAACACACCTCTTTTCAGTCGGATGCGACAGGTGTAACTAATTCACCGAATCGTATGAACTGAATGCAGAAACCCGCATCGACGGAATGTTAAATTAAATCTACTAATACAAACTTTACAGTGTCGAGTTACCTTTATACTCAACAATGCTATTTACAAATGGAGTTCGTGAATAATTTCGGAAAGAGTAAATTCTTTCGTTTTCTTAAACAGGTATTGTTTCTTGAAGCAATTCTAATTTCTATAGCATTGTTTGAAATGCGAAAAACAAGCAACAAGCTTTTCACTTTCAGTCTGACGTGACTGATTGTTGGCACTTCATAGCTACAGAAAACATCGTAACTCAAAGTGTTATAATGTGGTAAATATGTGAAAGCACTTTTAATCCAATTCATTAAGAGTGTTAATCGTGTATTCTAGCAATTTTATTTAAAGTGAAAATCCGCCTTCAAAACACACTTTTGGGTCCTATTATTGATTTTCTATATTACAATATAATCTTTGAAAATCTGTTTGAATTTTCTTTCTGTCTTATTAAGAAGCTAAATTACGAATGTTGTAAAATTACTTGATCATGAATTTCTCTAATTGGAAAAGCTGTAAATCGACATTTTTCATTACTGCAAAGCACTTTATCTCAAAATTTTTGGCATCAAAGAAACAGAAGGTTTTTTTTCATATTGCAATGAAAGTAAAGATACAATAACTTTTAAAGAAAATCTCAGTGTTCACCCTTATAAACACACGCACAAAAACTAAAACAAACTACTTTAACTTTTTCTGTTTCTCTAACGTTCTTTAACATTTACTTAAGGTTCTTATTATTCACCGTTTTGTTAGAATACTTTTCTTTTCGTTTTTACAATATAACTTCTAATTATTACTTTAGAACTCATAAAACATATAATTTTGTTTCTTCTTTACGGTAGCTTACTTTGCTAATTACTTGTTATTGACTTATTGTAGCTTACTTAGCTATTTACTTTCCATTATAAATTCATATGAGGTCAGACACACTTTTTAAAAATCGTGACAACTTCGTTTATTCATTTAACACAGTTCTATTTTCAATACCTTAGTGAGTACAATTTATAGTTAGTACAGTTACAGTTACTTGAGTATAGTTTACAGTTAGCACTCCATCACCTATCAATACATTTCATAACAGCTCCTTTCACGACACCTTAATGATCAGTGCAGTTTGCAGTTACCACCCAATCACCCCGCGATTCACAACTTTCTCAAGTATCAACTCGCTCACGTCAGCTCAGTTAGGATATTAGTCTGACCTGCTTTCACTCTATGGGGATTGTATGGCATTCCATATTCACTTCTTTACAATACACGTCATCTACAGGTGGGCTTTAAGCACGGCAGATTACAATATATATATATATATATATATATATATAATAACGAAAAAAAAAGACGCACCTAGAAGGAGTTTCCCGAATGTAATGAAATTTCGTTTGCAAAGACTTTTTGACAGAACATGCAAATGATTAAAATTTGGTGAAAATGAATGAATAGTGGGAACTACAGCACACGGGAACTGCGCACTCAGCAGGTGTATATAAGAAGCGATTCTCAATCTGAGGATCAAATTTTCATTTGCATTACGACTTAGGATACCATTCAATGACTAAAGAAAATGAATCGCCGCAGGATTCGAGCTCATTACGAGCAACTGCCAGAATTTGAAAGAGGTCATATCACTGATTTGAAATATTAAGTTTGGGCAAATCGGAGAATCGTTCATCACATGGATCGTAGTGATACGGCTAGAAGGGAAGGACAACGGCAGATATCAGCGTCATGATGGTAGCGGTTGACCTAGAGCCACAGCAGATCGGGAAGACAAAGTTATGGTCAGATCAGCTGTCTCAGCTCTTTATTCATCGTTATCAACCTTCAGACATGCGACCCGCACACGACCGTCCACCATGACCATTCATAGACGAATCATTGAGCGAAATCTATACTCGTACCGAACACTACGCCACCTGCCACTCACGCCTGCTATAATGAGCAGGCATGAGTGGACGAACCAGTATTACAGTGGTGTTTGACTCGATCAGGTAGGAATAATTTTGACAGGGGAGGTTTCGTGTTTAGTGGTGAATTCCGCTTCTAATTGTGTCCTAACGATAATTGAATACGTATCTGCAGACACCAAGGACAGCGCACCGATCCTGCTTTCAGTATTACATGCCACACAGGCCCTCGACCGGAAGTTATGGTTTGGGATTCCATTTCCCTTGATAGCCGGACCTCTTTGGTCGTCATTAAAGGCATACTTACAGCACAGCAGTACGTCGACGACATTCTGAGACCTGTTTTGCTACTGTTCCTTTTGCAGTACCCTAACCTTATTATTCTGCAAGATAATACCAAACCACATACTGCACGTGTTGCTATGAACTATCTTACAGCTTATTAAACCCTTCCTTGGCCAGCCAGCTCGCCTGATCTTTCTCCAATCGAGCATGCAACCCGCAATAACCTACCTTTAATCATCGAAATTGACCAGTTTGATTTTTGTGGTGTTCTTGCTTGGGAAGGCATCATGTCTAGTTGGAATTTCAATTTTTACATCTTCAAAGGAGGTACAGTCCCCGGGGTCTATTATTGTAAAGAGATTCTCCTTCCATATGTGCGTTTTTTAAAAGTACTATGGGTCCGCAGTTCCATTTTGATGTAACAATGCACCCACTAATCGCCCAGTAGCTGTGTAAAATCTGTTGGGCAGGAGGATATTGAACGCATGGATTCGCCGGTAAGGTATTTGGATCTAAATCCATAGAGCATGAATGGGGATTTCTAGGGAGACGCATGGCAACACATAACTTACCGCCATTAACTATTCAGGGGCTCCGATTATCGGTAGAAGGTGATTGGGTTGCAATGACTCCACAATTCATTGACCTCGTACTCAGCATGGCCAGACGATGTGAAACCTGCATAGCTGTCAAAGTAGATCATATCTACTACTAAAGACTGGATATTTCTGGCTGGACACTTGTCACATGGACACCTTTTGCAAGCTCGGACACCTTTTGCATGGACAAGCTTTTCACCTCAAAATAAATAAAGAAATTAGGTCATCTGGTTATTTTAATTAATTTCTTACACGATCGTCGAAGGGGAATCTCCGTCGTTAGTTCACCTGAGCAGAACGCGAGACTTAAAATCGAGAACAGTTTCGAGCCCAACATTATGATATTTTTTTTAAAAAAATAGCATTGGGAAATGGAAAACTCTAGTACTCTAGTAATTATTCAAAAACTTTTGTGCAAGTGTTCGTTAATAATCTGTTTATTATATGTGACACCTTGTTAGTTTTAGTCAATTTTATATGCAATCATCACCCGGCTGGCTCAGTCAGTCGAGCGCGAGACTCTTAATCTCGGAGTGGGTGGTTCGACCCCACGTTGGACGTAGTATTTAACACGTCTTGCAGGAAAGTGTTTATATTTGTTTAAAACATTTTGACAGAACTAATATACAATAACAAACTTTTCTTTGATGCTTTTCTACATTAAAAACCGCATAAGATCGTAAAACATGCATTAGTGGGCAAAATTTGCCTTAATACAAAAATTTTCTTCGAAGTTGTACTGTGTTACTTTAACCACAGGAAAATGATATTTGACCTCTCACATATCAATTACGTAATATTGTATTAGAATCACTCATGAGTTATTTAAATCTTAATACATTCAGCTGTACGTGTTTGTATCTCCTAATCTTTTCATTTCTAGTCTTTAGGAATAAATTAATATTAATTAATGATTCATTTTTCAGGATAGAGTTTTATTCATAACTCAAAAACGTCATTGCTTGAGATTTAAAGGGAATGGTTATTGATTAATTTTTACCTAGATAACATCACCAGACAATTGAGCATTTTAATACTTAAAATATATCTCTTTTATTGTTTTAATCTTTTTGTTTTCTCGTAACTATTTGTATTCCTTAAATCTCAATTATAATATTCCTATTAATCTACGAAGATGATTCAAAAAGTACTTGTATTTAAATATCATTAATTTTTGTTACCGATAGTGCTGCCATCTGTTAAGCGGAGCGGAAACAAATTTGACTTTGATTCATAAGTTAGTTTTGCTTTGGTAGTCATTTACTTCCAAATCAAAATATGATTGTGACAGAGTCGAATTATCACCGTCGTTAAGACTTGGATTCAACATTGTGCACCGGAAACCAAGCAACAATCAAGATGTTGAATTGCTTCCGGGAACTGCCTCATAGAAGGCGAGAATAATCTCATTGACGAAAAGGTTATGATGAAAAATTTCTGAGGTAGGAATGTCGTTAAGATCGCGAATACCAGTCGATAAGACTTGGACAGCTATCTAATGAGTCATGATGCTTCCTAAGAATAAACCATTTTTGATATTGCGATCACAATCCCTTAAAATTTCTAAGTACTTATAGAACAACTCTCGCATTTTTTTTTAAAATTAATCCATTGTCAACATTAAATTCAAAATTAATACTCTATTTTCTAAAGTGAATTTCAATTCTTATATTCTCAAAAGTTTTTAGTCATCTAATGAGTTTTCGAATTCGGATTTGTGGTTCAGTGTGTGTTAAGAATGTTTAATACTTTAACATTCGAAATAAAAAAAACTTATTTATGATCTTGTTTGAGGCATTCTAATTTGGATATGAAATGGGTCACCCTGGTAGACGTGGTGTAAGGTAACTGGCTGGCACCTGGATCTGTTTCCAACAACTCTCGGGCTCGAGTCCTGTCAGTTGTCGGGGCTAATGCGTGTTAAATCTAACGACGTTTCTAGTCCTTCTATGGACGTGACGTTGAAATTTTGAGTGTGGGATGGTAGCACAGCTATTGTCTTCATCTCTTAGCGTAGTTTGAAAATTATGAGATTCGTTGCCAACAGCTCTCAAGTCACTTATAGTGTGATATTAATAAATAAAATATCAATCAGTCAAAACTTATTGTGAAATGATTCTCAACATTTTCTTAAACTTAATGTTTAGGATAAATGAGTAAGAAAGGATTTTCTCTCTCTGTGTCACTGTGATAATTTAGTGAAAAACTAAAAACTAATTACAAATAAATTAAAAGTTCTTTTGTTCTTTTTCGAAGACTGTACAGGAAATAATTGAGCTTTCTATGGACATTTTACCTTGTTTAATATTTAATGTGATCATAATCTATATTTACATTACTGGGTGTAACTATTAAGGTGTACAAGGATTAGATGTATTTAATCGCTTATAGTTTCCGTAAAATGTTTGGAAATGTCTGCATTGTCAAGCACTTTCTTGTAACATTATAGGATGCGTTGAGTATATGATATCAAAAGGGAAATTTCTGTTTATGGTTTACTTTGCCTTTTTCCTATTAAAAAGCTACTTTGGTCACAAGCATTATCTTCTGAAAGGTCGCACTCCTCCAATGTTTCGGACTGATAGTTACTCAAGATTTAATCAGTTGAATCTCCTATTTCTTTTTCAAATGTCTCTGGTTCCAACAAACGTCCAGTAATAACTTTTCAAGACTTCTCATTTATTCATCACACTACAAAGGAGGAAAACTTTAGATAGAACGATTTGAAAACTCTATGACTTCATAATGAAAAATACTGAGAGAGCATACGTTGTTTCAACATACCTTAAATAGTTCTAAAGAACTGAAAAACGTTCGAAAATTCCCGCATTACCTGTAAAATTTGAAAATGGAAGCAAGTACTGGCGGATATAACCATTTCTACCTACAGGAATGGGAAGAAAATATGCTTTTGCGAGCCTGGAATGTTGAAACACTCTTTACGTAACTTCCCGATTTAAAGCTCCTGTCTATCAGCCATTTTGATTTCATGAATGTATTGCTAATCCTATAGAATATCTACTTTCCGCCTCATGCCTAGGTTATTAGTTTTATTTGAATAAAATAAAGTATATTTGAAAGAACACAAAAACAATTAACATTTTGGCGAAATTACATTTTCTCTCTGATCTATGAAATTATTTAAAATAATTGTAATGCTCACAAACGTAATATTAAAATAGACGTAAAAATATTTTCAAAATTTTGGGGAATAAAGCAATTCTGTGGATACCTTCATTACATTTTGTTCTTTCGAATACACTGATTTTGTTCAAATAAGTATAATAATATAGTTATGTGGAGGAAAGTAGAAATGCTATATAATTAATTTAATGTTCATGAAATCAAAATAGCTAATAGACCGGATTCTGCTTTCCCACTTTGTATTCATTTTTTTCGCATAACGCAACTGTATGTGTCTTAATTCTTATTTACTTTTATGCGTAGTAAACAATTGTCTCGTACAGCAGCAACATAATTGATCTTAACGCTATTCAATCTTACAATCACTCAATCACTTTAAAACTCTAATTTCAAACTTGTGAACCTCGCCGCATTTTATGCTGCTTTATTAAGCATTCAATTTATCATTACCTTAAAAAAATATATCAGCATAAAAGCCTTCTGTTAATTTATGCGGATCCTATCTTTATATGTCACACACCCTTTCAAAAATCAGTCTAGACTGTTATATTAACTACTAAATATGTATAAGAGTACTTCCTAAGGACTTACCTGATAGGTTCATCTTGATTTGAATTTTTTCGTGCTTAGTTTTCTTGTTATATCGCAGACACGAATAAGGTTTCTATATTCACATCTACTTTATAAGAAAAGCTATATACTTCTGATACTGCTAGTAGAAAGATCAATGTAAGTAAAGTCGATTTTACATTACCGTCTAGCAAAACTTGATTACAAAGAAACTTATATTTAAACGTGTGGCGAGAATCTTAATATATCCCTACCTTTTCAAAACCCAGATTCATACTAATTTGCATTAACTATTAAATAAGAGAGATTTCTTCGAGTATTTTAGCTAAATAGTATATTTGAATATATTTATCTAATTAATCTTATCCTGAATTTCTGAATGATAAGCTAATCTTTACAGTTTCCTTTCTACCTTTGTTGGCCCAAATTACATTGTTGCATTATCTTCTAAAGTGAAAGACATTAATTTATTGATAAGTGTCGCAAAAAGATCAATTCATCAAGAATATTCTAAAACTGAATATCTTCTTGCTTTAAAGTGAAATACAAAATTTCTTTTAATTCCATGGCTGTATTTGACGAAAGTCTAGACGTAAATGATAGTGAAAGGAAATGCTTTATTAATTTTATCTTGAAGCACATAATTAATTAAAATTTCAAAAGTTGTATTTTTAATTTTGGATTTTCTTAAACAGCGACAACGTGTTAAATTGATTTTCTTTGTTAGAGATCCTTTACCTTTACGGAAGTGAGCTAACTAATTTTAGATAATTTTAAATACATGCTAAATGGAGTAACTGCAAATCTGAATTTAATCAAATAGATGTCTTTCTTTTGAATATAACTAATTAAAATACCTCTTATAATTAATTAAACGATTAAATGAAATATCAGAAAATGTTTAATTCTTACAGCCGGAAATTCATTTTTGCTACAATTTAACTTCAAGTAACGCATAAAGGCACTTTGAATTCAATTATTTTAAAAACAATTTTTTTGAATAATGATTCAAGTCACATAATTTTATACATTTCATAATTGAGTGAATTCAATTTGAAATCTCGTTCAAATTTCTCTATTAGTTTGACATTTTCTTCGAAGAAAATGTTTTCACATTAAATATCGATTATAATAGTCATACAAGATGAATTTTTCGTTTGAAACTTGGAGTAATGATTTTAAGATTATTACCACTTCGGCTCTTTTAATATTTGCTTTATTAAATATCAGTGATTTATTTAATAAAAGAACAAAGCATATTGTAAAAATTAATATTTGTACTTTTTCTTTTAATGATTTTTAATGTGATAATCAAAATTAAACATAATTTTCTCGAGACAAAATTATAACGATGAGTTTTTTGAACGTACTCTTTTTGTTAGTAAGAAAGTAATATAAGTTTTGGAGTACTTTTTGTAGTACATCCATATTTGCTACTTTCTTTTACAATGTATTTTAAAAACAATGTCCGTATAAATTCTTGAGACGATTTTTGGTAGATTTATAATTCATAAAATTAGTATAATTTAACCCATATGAATAAGAATATTCGACAAAGTTATATTTTTAAGAATCAGCCTTTCTCTTTTAGAAACACCCCATTCCATTTTGTCACTTTTAGTGTTCGTTAAAATGTATTTCATATAAATGTAAATAAATGTATATAATGTATATAAATATAAAAAATGAATTTCACTCGAAATAAAATATATATAAATTTTATGAAAACTTATAATAATATGGAAACTTTGTAGCATCATATTTTTCCTGGTAATATACTCTATAAAAAACGACGCACCAAGAACGAGTTGCACGATGTAATAAACTTTCACATGCAAAAGTATTC